AGATAGATAGATAGATAGATAGATAGATAGATAGATAGATAGATAGATAGATAGACAGATAGAGTAGGTGGATTAGAGGGAGGCTCCACGTCTTCACAGAAGGAGAACAATACCAGAAGATTATTGTTAAGCCTCAGCCTTGTGGCGATACATAGATTAATAGAAATAGGCTATTGAAGATGTAAGAGATAGCTAGGAGTATGCCTTGGCTATTGGAAAAACAGTATTTTAACTAATAAAAATTTCAGGTCTCGGTGACTGGGAAACAAAAGGGCAGTCCCAGTTTACAGCTCTGCTTGGAGAGAGTTGATAACGGCAGCATCACCTGACTAACATGAGAATTCTTTGTTCAACTGATACATGTGACTTTCAAGTGGAATACAATATAGAAGCAGATGCACATATGCTTTAACTATAATAAAGGAGCAAACGCTCATACAAATACAAATACTAGGTCTAAATTGGAACAACCTCATTACTTATCACTTTCCTCTATGCCTATTTTATTTCACAATTTCATTTGTCTGCCACGTGTACTACTGCCCTGAATTGCATGGAAGCAAATTCTCATAGTTTCACCATACATAAATGCACCTTAAACTCTACTTTAAAAAAATCAGACACATAGAGAAGTTCCAAATACAGTTATCAAGTACCTCTAAATTCTTTGCCTAAATGAATTGCTGCTAATTGATCTCAATTTCATTGTCTTCTCATCATTGCTACAGTTTTGGTTGATTGTTTTCTTTGACTATTTCATACATAATAAAGTTTATTTTGAAGTTCCTATTTCCTCTCTATTGCTATTATAATCTTATAGTGATAATCATACTTGATATATGAACCTGACCTTCTAGTGGGTAAGTATTTAATCTCTTAAGTTATTAATGAACTTTATGATTTTCTAAAATAAATTTAGCAGTTTTTACATTATCTTTATAAAATGAGGTCAATATATGTGAAAATATTTACTGAGAACCTGAGTTTTACTTTTTTGGAATTTATTATGCTATAAAAATTATTGTATTTCATGCTGCATGTTCAAGAATCATTTGCACCTTGTGAAGCCTGAAGAATCTTTTGGTTTGTGGCTAAGAAAGGATGTCTAGACAGTAGCAGTGATTAACTTGAATCATTTTGTTTCTGGAGATGTGCTGGAGTATCAGCACAGAGAAAACCTTTCATTAAAGCATCATTCAAAATCAAAGTGGAAAGAAAAATCTATATTTAGAAATTTATTAAGTTGCTTCAGACATTTAAGAAAATGGCTCACCATTCTGCAGGGATCCAGGTGTCCAACACATATGGTCTGAAATTAATCAACAATTTACAAGAAGACATTAGTTATAACTCTTCTGAAACTGTAAACAAATGAAAAAAATGACCCAATTTGTTAACCTAAATGTTTATGTAAATCAAAAAATTCTTTAACACTACCTGCTACTACTTATTGCTTCCAGCTTTTGAGTTTAATTTGCATGAATTAAATTAAGTACTAATCAAATTTTTATTTTCAATTGACTTGTAACATAATTTAAATCTTTTCCTGTTATTTTTTAATAAAATAAATAAAAAGCTTTTAATATTTACTGGGGAAAATACACTTGCATATATTGACTATGCATGCATATAATATTTATAGCATGATGCTCATAACATATCAAAATCTATTGCCAAATTACCTTTACAAAATTACACTGAGTGGGAAAAGAAAAAAATGAGAAGTTGTTCCAAGTGGGGAGCAAGCAGGTCATCCAGTACTGAAGGAGAAGGAATGATGAGGAACAATTAATACAAAATAAATTTGATAATTCTTCAAATAATCATATATCATTTCCCATAAATTATTCATAGTATATAAAATTTATATATACATAGTATATAAATATTGTAGGAATATATAACATGTAAAAGTTTATATTTAAACTCACACAGGTATATATAATTAGGTTGTATCTAAATTATATGTTTCCCGAAAACAACTGCAAGCTGATGAGGGAGGAAAGCAATTGCACAGTCCTACCCAGATGTTACACTCTAAAACACAATAATTACCAGCCTGGCATAGAGATTCAGGAAGTGACATTCATATGTTGGTGACAATAAGCAGCTATCTAATTGGACTTAAGGTACACTCAGTAACATGGAAATTATCCCAGGTACTGGAAACTTGGCCAGATTCCTGGGGCTAGGCAATGTCATACAATTTACAATGGAGTCTACCAACACGACTTTGCTAGATTAGCATAATTCTCTACTATACTCTAAATTCTATCCTCATACCAACACATAAATGTAGCTACCACTCTGCATCAAGCAATCTTCTCTTTAAAACAAATGGAGAAAATCACAGAAAATCATAACTAGATACAATCAATAGATTGTTGAGACTCCATCATCAGTGGATATATTTATATCACAACTCCTGCATTTATTTTGTGGAATTTCATTCATCAGGTGGGGAAGATAGTAAAGGCCAGACACCAGGAAATCTGATTTGAAAGATCATCTCCTATAAGTTACTGCATAACCAAGACTAAACCAACAGAAATAGCAACGAATATGTTACAATAGAAGGAGGAATGTATTATGGGGTTCACTAGGTAACTAATTCTGCTGCAAGGAGAATTAGCCTGTCCTGATAAAAACCTGTTATTTATTATCCAAAACAGATTGATCATCCTTGAAACCATTTATAGAACACCAACAAAAACAGACTCGTAACCATATATGTATTCACACACATATGTGTAATTTATACATAAGTTACGTATAATATAACTACACATAAAATTCTATAAATTTAAAGGGTATATAATTTTGACTAATATAATTTGATCATTTATAAAAAGGAAAAACTAAAGTCTAGCTAAATATGTGAAACACCCTGAAGAAAGCCTACATTCAACCAAATAGTATGCCAGTGAAGCTGGAGGTAGAACCCAAGAACAGAGAAAGTCAACTAGTGATGCGACCATTTGAGAAAGGACCTACTGTTATTAAACATGGAATTTGTACAATTGAGAAAACAGAATCAGAAAGATCCTCTCCTCTTGAAGATGATTCCTTTCAATACATTACCACCTTACTTCTCATTCAATACAACTCTTTGTCAACTCTACATTTCTTTAAGAAAGTAAATAAAGACTCTGAGGTGCCAGGAGGAATCACATAAAATGCTTTGATTATTTAACAGATTTTTACCATTAGATATCACCATTTTCTCCTCAGATATTTTTTTTCATGATTGTGCTTGAAAAGATGAGCTATTTCTGAGCTATTAAGTTAAACAAAAGCTTTACAAATTAAAATTTCATTTCAGCATAGAGACAAACGCAACACAGCAGACCATTATGAATAGATTGGAAAACTTTTCCTTCATATGGAATAACCAATCACTACACAAATGCTGTATAGAAACGTGAGAAGTCTAATGACAGAAAGGTTATTCTGAAATACAGTCACTTTGACAATCAGTATATGAAATTTAAACAGTTGCAAAGTTTGAAGAAATATTTACTCAATTGACTTGTGAACAAAACTCTAATTTTGGAAGTATTTTGGTTTTTTAAAATCTATTATACTCCATGCTGTAAAGAAGCATTAATAGTATGAGTAATGATTTTAAAGCCAGTTTTGATATTTCATTCTTAGAGAATGTAAACTAATTGCTGTGTGTTGTTAAAGTTTAGGATCTATCCTGTGTAGGCATCTGAATACATCATAGAGTGTTCTTCTTTACTATAATTTAAAGAAATCCATATAATAAAATGAATAGGAAACATGTTTATATTCTCCTTGTACTTTTCCTTTAGAAGGGTTAGAAAGCACTTGTCCTTGAGAAGAAGTGAGAAGAATTAATTCACAATGCAGTAGTCAGCCATGATAAGCTAAATAGAAACAAACCACCCAAAGGAAATTGTTGGAATTACTTCCAACAATTATCACCTGCCAGAGTAGGACTCAGCCATCAATAAGTTTATGTGAGGCCTGAGTCTCAGTAGTTTACCCTGAAGCCATACCTGGTTGCAGGAAGAACCACAAACTGAGACTACCCAAGTACCACCCAAGAACAGATTATCCAAAGAAAATGCCTAACATTCCAATTGCTGTAGATATGACCACCTGCCAGCACACACTTACCAGAACACACCTAGACAAATGTCAAAACCCAACTCTAACTGAGCTCAGGGCTCTCCATTTATTCTAATACGTTGGACATGCTGAGAGACCGAGTTTGAAAACTTGCATAAAGGCTCTTTGCTTTTACATATGGGACTCGGTCTCCTTGTTGGTTTTTGGGGGGACTTCGCGCATCTGGGCATAACATACAACTTGTCTAAAATGAACATTTGCAGTTATACATGTAATTTTGTATCAAATAATTTCTATTTTATTATAAATCCCAAATTCATATTGTTAATATGCTATAACTTTTATTATATATTCATAAGAGAAAAACTCATAACTATTTCTCATATATTCTAATTGCAACATCATATTGTATTATATTGATAATTTCTATAATAGTTACATTTGGTTTTGAGAAAATTTGTAATTTACATTGTGTTTCAAATAGCAAAGATGCTATAAATTATAAAATGCTTACAATTATATAAAATGTATACATTCTTTTCTTATATACCTGAATGATAGTTATAAATTAGTTGCAAACAAAGTTAATGTAGGTAAAATATATATTATTAAAACCTATTTAGGTGTTTTTTATATAATTTATGTATGCCATCATAAAATCATTTTATTTGACATAATACTAGTGTTTTTAATTTTGAATTCATTCACACTGTTTTTTAATTCAAATAGTAGTAGCAGGAGACCTTTTCTATAATTACACTTTCACGTCTGTCCACTTTGTTAATCAAAAGTCAATGGTATCACCAATATATAATCAAAAAACATGCCGAGTTTATTATTTTAAAATGTTTAACTACATTATATATTTATTCTGTCTGTATGTGGGTACCTGCTGCAGTGCACTGTGGAGACCAGAGGACGATTGGTGGGACTCATTTCTCTCTTTTCACCATATAAATCCCAGGAATCAACATCTCAAGCTTGACTTAATACTTTCTCTGTTTGGGATAACTTGCCAGGATAGGTTTGTATAATTTGAAATTAAGTAAATTTCTGTAGATAAAAAATATTTCTAGTGTTGATGTTTTATAGTTTACCTTTCTTTGTGTGTGGTGTCTGCACGTATGTGCATACATGTAAAAGTCTGAGATCGGTGTCAATTGTCTTCCCCTGTAGTTCTACAACTTATCTTTTGCGACATCATTTCACAGGGTTGCTGGGGCTCACTGATTCGGCTACAGTGAATGGAGAGAGAGCTTCTGCAGTGTGCCTGGCTTTGCTTTCCCAGTTAGTGATTACAGGCATGCGCAAACATGGCCAGTATTTTATATGAATGCTAGGGACTCAGGCCTTCATTATTGTTCAGCAAGCTCTATCTATTAGAGCTAATTACCCAACCATGGTATCCTAATTTTGAAGAAAAATTTAGTTTCGCAATATATGCAATAGCACAAACATATAGACACATTTTATACATTATTAGATTATATACATTTGTTCACTGAATAACAAAATGTGTTGATTTCTATTCTGTATATGATAGTGAAAATTTCTAAGAATTTTTCATTTGATTTCTTCTTCATAAGAATTTTTGTACATAAAATCTCCAAATTGCTCAAATACATTTTTGTTCATCTTCCATTGAATATATAATTAGTTTTCCTATATTTCCTTAAATTGTAGGTCATTAATCTTAATATTATTAAACTTAATGAATCTGGATACTGTTTAAATTTGCTATATGTTTAGTGTATAAATATGACTTTATTTGCATGAGGAAGTCAACTCCAATTGAACTGAAACAAAATTAAAATTATGAAACATTAAACATTATACGAACTCTGACTAAGTTTACATTATGCAATTATTTCAGGATTTTGTGTTATTTTAAAATGAATTATAAATAGTTTATGATGCATGAAACAATATAAAGCAAAAATTAACTTTGGTTTATTTTACCTTCTTATGTAATATGCATGATTTTTAATCAAGACTTTTCAGCAAGTTGTGAATACAAAGTTTGATACTCATTATAAGAGTATCTGCAGTGAACGTTTCAACACCTGCAGTGAATTATGATAATTAAGTTCTATATCGTTCTGTTCTTACCTTTCCTTTCCATCCCCTACTGTGAAAATTCAATTTCCAGATGCTTTTGATGTTTCTGGTTTAAAGGTGTGAAAGAGATTTGCCTCTTCTGAGCCTTCAGGTCTGTCATATTAGAGTTCATTCTGAAGCATCATTTCACTACTGTCTTACTTCTTCGGTCAAAATAGGAGATTTGGTTTTTTTTTCAGAGGAGGAGAGAGGAGATTCAGCATGAGAGGGCAGAGTTCAGTGTGTGGGTTTTAATACTTCAGTTCATTCTGGTTAATGATTATAAGAAGACAGCAGTTAAACTGTAGTAAAAATCACACTGAATTCCCTATCTGAAACATGAAATAAAATTTAAGTGGTCACATTTTAAACAAAACGGCTAACAAGATAAGCAATATGATGTCATTTAATTCTACTCTATAACCATAGAGGTGTATCAACTGTTGTTTTTTTGTGGTGGTGAATATTTCCTTTAGTTAGATATCCAAGTGTAAAAATTATGAGTACTTTACTTTTGTGAATATATAATATATATTTACTTCTATATATAACACATAGAAGTAAAGTGCAAAATAGTCCAAACTTTTAACTACCTTAACAGAGCTATCTAGTTGTTGTTTTGTTTGATCTGTTCATTCATTGGCATATTTTTATGGTAAATTTGATATTATTTTTTAGCAATATGCAAAATGTTGGGTTCATCCAAATGAAACTGTGAATACAGTTGCATAAGAAATGCAGCAGTCCTTTCCTTATCAATTTAGGAATTAATGTATGTAAATCTGTTTTATGTTAGAGTTGGCAAGTAGTTCTTTTCAGATTAAAAAATATGTATGACCTTTAAGAAGTATATGAATTTCGGGCAGTAGTGATGTTTCAGTAGTTGGGAGCATTGGATACACTTCTATGGAACCTTGATTCAATTCCCAGTACCTACGCGGCAGTCCATAGCCATCTGTAAATTCAGTTATAAGAGGTCCATTGCTACTTCTGGCCTCTGTGGATTACCGGTTGCAGAATGGTAAAGAGACATACATGCAGGGGACACATTCATTTGTAGAAAGTAAAAATGGATAATTTTTTTAAAAAGTGTGTGGTATCAAACATGTATTTCAGACATTCAGAATTGTCTGAAAGTGTTACACCCAAGATTGTGTGGGAGGCAATCAGTCACTACTATACTCCATTTGAAAACAATGATATCTAATTATTTTCTAACTATCAATACATCACTTTGTGTTCCATAGTTTCAGAAATTAATGCACTTAAAGTGGTGTCTATTTTTATTTCTATAGACAAGAAATGGGGGCTGGGTATGTCAAAAAATAAGTTAACTGAGGTCCAAGCTTTGGGAGTTGACTGTCTAAAAATACTAGTGGTTCCATCAATTTGATCTCTACAGAAGGCTTCCTTGGCAACAACTGAGTTTGTCACAGATGGAATCATTCCCTAAGCTCATTCACTAAGTATGGAAATTTCAATTTCAAACAAGAACCAGAGGTGGGGAGTAGCTAGTTTGTGTATTTTTTTCCCATAACAATCCATTCTCTTAAGAACTGGCTTTTTAAGATCAACACATGCCCTACTATAGACACTTTTCCAAAAACAAACAAACAAAAATAGATAAACATCTTCCATCCTCTTGCCTTGCCTTCTTCATTCAAGTTTCTACCAACTCTTGATAGTTTTTTACTGGGGACTAAACTTCTTAAGAAAACCATTTTGACAATTAATCATAGTCTATGTCTACACTGTGATACTTGGGACCGCTGTCATTTTTAAACTTTAGGATATAATTCGGAAATATCGTCATAGAATACAGTATAGTGGAGAATAAAGTCAGCCATTTATTCTTTAGTATGGCATTTCAAAATATTAAGTACTAAAGTAAGAACAACAGACTGAAAACATTAATGTCATTCATTTTCATCCTCGAACCTTAACCCACCAACTAATGAAAGCAGGTACAGAGATCTACAGTGAAGCCACTGGGACGAACTACCAGAGACCAGCTCACGAGAAGGAGTGGTAATATGAGCAAAGGATTCAAGAACATGATGGTGATACTCACAGAAACAGCCGACCTGTGCTAGAGAGAGAGCTCACTGACTCTGGACTGACAGTAGGGGAACCTGCCTAGGACCAAACTAGGCCCACTGAATATTAGAAACTGTTGTGAGCCTTGGGCAGGCAATGGGACCAGGCAGTGGCATCTTGGAGCACATTCTCTTTGGAGGGATACCTTCCTCAGCCTAGATATAGGAGGAAGGGGCTTGGTGTTGCCTTAAGGGAGGTGTCAGACTTTGTTGATTCTCCACAGGAAGCCTTACCCTTTCTGAGTATCCTTTCTTACCTGGACCTGAGATAAACAACACACTGAAGTCTTTGAGGAAAGAAATCACAGCACATATGGCAGAAGCAGGAGTTTATTCTCATAGTTTCCAGGGGTTGAGGTAGTGTTCTCCACACAAACCAGGCTCTCTAATTCTCTGGCCAGAGGCTGAAAAGGACCTGGAAACATGATGTGTTGTGCGTTGTGCTAGTACCTATTTTAAGACTGACTCACTTCCAAGGGGAGAAATCTTTGTCTTCGGATACCTGCTCCTTAGGCACTCTCAGACAAGGTCTCAGAAGGATTTATGAAAGTAGGAAATCCCTACCATTGTAGTGGCTAAATCCTAAAACTGCGTTTTACAGGAATGGGGTTGGGGTCAGGAAGGAATGTCTCCTTGAATGTTACTGTTCACACACAATTCATTTCAGGGTTATTTGATATTCAGAAAATGCTATTATTGTTTGATCTCAGTTTAATATGAAACTGTTCAGTTCCATTACTTACGGTAAAATAGATCAATGAATTAAAGAGTGATAAACTGATTTCTGTATTTTAAAATTTTGCTTTTCCTTCATGACAAGAATGTATTGAGAAGTAAGGAGCATTATACTTATAAAATATTTTATTGAACTCATATTTTTGGTTGTGAGCCTAGCCTTTAATGGCTGAGTCATCTCTCCATCCCTAAAGAGGGTCTGGAATGGGAAACAGGAAAGCTGAGACCCACAGGCCCTGGATCCACAACCGAGGACACACCGGCAAACCAGGCACGCGGAGGCAAACAATGGCACTGGGTTTAGATTCTATTGCATGGACTGGCTTTGTGGGAGTCTATTCTGTTTGGATGCACTGCTTCCTAGACCTGGGTGGAGGGGGGAGGACCTTAAATTTCCCACAGGGCTGGAAACCCTGACTGCTCTTAGGACTGGAGAGGGAGGGAGAGGGGGAGGGGGAGAGTGGGAGGGAAATGGGAGGAGGGGAGGAGGTGGAAATTTTTGATAAATAAAAAAAATAAAAATATCTTATTGAATTGTCATCCAAGTAATTGATCATATTTTATTGATCATTAACTTAAACAATAAAAATAGATGGCAAAATAGTTACATTGTCAAATTAGAACTGAAAACTTTAATTTAATTTAAATATATTAGCTTAAAACTATAGATTTCTAATAACACAGTCTTAGTATGTGCATCAAAAATTAATGGGACTAGAGAAATCACTTCTTAATTAAGAGTGATTATTGAACTTTCAGAGGACCTTGTTTCTGTTCTCAACACTCACATAAGGATTCACAACCATCTGTAACTCTAGATCTGATGACCTCTTCTGGCCTCCACATTATCAGGCACATGCATGGCACACATACAACTATTCAAGCAAAATACTCATACACAAAAAATAAAATAAATAAATCTTCACAAACTGGAAGTGGATATTTTAGGAGAAGCATATTATATTTTGTTTAAAGATTTTCATATGCTTTCTCAGGGTCTGATATAGAAAACAAACAACACATTTTACACAAAATTTAAGAACATTAAATTACTTTAACCATGAACATTAATTAGCTTCTTGAATGAATAATACAAAATTTTTATTATTTTTAAACACATGCAGGTTGTCTATAAATATTGGTGTTAACGAAAACACTGCCATTCTCATGAGAAGAAGGAATTTCATCTGCCTGTCTATTTTTGACCAAGAGTTTTCTTAGTTCTCTTGGTTTAACCTGGAGTTTAACATCTGTCTTTTTACTCCCCGCTTTGCCATATAGATTCTGGAAAAACTGTTTGTCATAATTCCACCAACCTCTTCCCCCAGGCACTTTCTGTTCCATTTTTTGTCTCTGTCTTTCTCTGTCTCCCACCTCCCTTGCTTCTATCTTCTTTCTGTCTCCCTCATTGTGTCAAATTTCTGTATATAATGTGATTTTTCTAAAGAGAATCCTAATAAAAGATTGAAATATTATTTTCATTAAAATTAAGATAAGAACAAACACTTGACAGAAATATTCAATTAAAATAAAAGGAAGAGACACATAAATAAAAAAATAAGAGATCATACAGATATATTGGTTTATAGGAGAATATTCACGCATCCAGAGAAAGTAAAATCCATAAATTTTTATAAAAATCTTTTATAAATAATTTTATATATCATTATATAGAATACAAACATATGATCTATGTAGTTTTGCTGGTAATTTCTTAAAAAATAATTAAGCTTTTTGAAAAGATCAACAAGTGGTTTAATAATTATTACCCTTTAGATGAGTTATTAAATATATTAAAAATCAAACCTCATGATGCTCATCAAAATCTAAAGATGAGTCCTAACAGATAATTCATAAACACACTGAGGCAATCCCTTAGTCATTAATTAAAGAGTGACATAAAATCCATTCACCCTCATACTATTTTATGAGTTTGATATTATTAAATACCACAATGATATAAGGACAAAATTCTACATGAAAATATTTTACAAACATATTTTTCAATTCAAATATGAAGGTAATAAGAATGTATGAACTCTGTCACTGAAACAATGAAACCCAATATGCTATAACCATATCATCATCCTCAGGAAATTGGAATTGTATTTAGGATTCTCTCCATATTAAGTCATTTATTGTATTGACTGATTAGGCGATCATCTCAATGATTATTAAATTTTGTAGTTACTTCAAATACATCTCTTTAAATGAGAACATTTAATGAAAAATGTTGGAAACTTTCACAATATATGAAATTAACGACAAACTTTAAACACACTGCTCAAATTACAAAAGAAAAACTTAGCAGCATACTGAGAACCAGTGCCAAATAAAGATAGGTACAATTGCTTTTCTAATATCTTTCAGCCTCTA